CTGCAACCTCTAAACTGATTTCATGACCCAGTGATTAGAGGATCATTTGTACCCTCAATTTGAAAACTGAACCACCATGATGCAACTCTGTAATGGGACATGAGGACAGACATTTATTTTTGACAGAACTGTGACCCTTAGGACAGGGGAGACACAGGGCTATTTTTAACAGGAAGCTCTGGATGAAGTCCATCCGAAAGTACCAAAAGTGGCTGTAGGATCTCAGTCTTGGATAAAGTAAAGAAAGGTTACTAAGAACGGTATGACTACATATACCTGATGTCTATGAGGGGTCAGAGAAGAGGAGTTAAGAACTGCTTCTGCTTGGTGCCCATAGCTAAGTGATGTTATGGCACTGGTCACGTACACCAGGGATGGTGGATTCGAAGCTGGCCATTGCTAAAGAACAATGACAACTACAACAATAAATAGCTGGGCATTGTGGCAGGCACCTATAGTCCCAGCTACTTGGGAGGCAAGAGAAATGCTTAAGCCCAAGAGTTAGACATTGCTGTGAGCTGTGACACCACAGCACTCTACTAAGGGCAACACAGTGAGACTCTGTCTCAAAAAAAAAAAAAAATCAACTTTAGTTCAAAATAAGCACTGAAAAAAATCAGAAAAGAAAGAAACCAAACACCTTTCATGGATATTACACCAAAAGAAAAACAGAAAAATTGAACTTTGTGAAAATTAACACATTTTGTGCATCAAAAGATAGTTATCAACAAAATAAAAAGGCAATCCACAGAATGACAGAAAATATTTGCAAATACACATCTGATAGGAATTAATATGCAGAAAATGCAGGGAAATCCTAAGACTTAAGAACACATAACTCATTTAAAAAATGAGGAACAGACTAGACAGACATTTCCCCAAAGAATATATAAAAATGGCCAATGAACACACGAAAAGATACTCAACATCACTAATCATTAGGGAAATACAAATCAAAACTACAACACGGGCCTGGCATAGTGACTGAGGCCTGCAATCCTAGCACTCTGAGGGGCCAAAGCAGGATTGCTTGAGCTCAGGAGTTCAAGACCACCCTGAGCAAGAGCTAGACTCCATCTCTCTCTACTAAAAATAGAAAAATTAGCTGGGTATTGTGGCAGGTACCTGTAGTCCCAGCTACTAGAGAGGTTGAGGCAGGAGGATCACTTAAGCCCAGGAGTTTGACATCGCTGTGAGTTAGGGTGACACTTCAGCACAACCCCCCCCCCCAAACTATGATATGATACCACACAAGTGTTGGTAAGGATGTGAAGAAATTGGAACCATTGTGCTCTGTTGGTAGGCATGTTATTTAAATTCTTAGTTACAATGAAAATAGCATGGCAGCACCTCAAAACTCAAAAACAGAACCACCCTGGGCAGTGCCTGTGGCTCAGTGAGTAGGGCACCGGCCCCATATACCGAGGGTGGTGGATTCAAACCCAGCCCCGGCCAAACTGCAACAAAAAAATAGCCGGGCATTGTGGCGGGCACCTGTAGTCCCAGCTACTCAGGAGGCTGAGGCAAGAGAATCGCCTAAACCCA